GCATCTTCATATCTGGTCACATGGGCGGCAAGCCACTCCCACAAAGGAGGCCATACCCACAGAGTAGGTTCGAACAATTTTTGGAACCCACTACTGGTTGGAGACCACTGTTCTAGTCAACCCCCCGCTCAAGCAGGAGATCATTTCAGAAAAATGGCTATCCAATCTCTTCTTTAAAACTTCCAATGATGGAGTATCCACAACTTCTGAAGACAAACTGTTCCACCGGTGAATGGTTTTCACTGTCAGGAAATTTTTCCTTAGTTCTAAGTTGTTTCTCTCCTTAATGAGTTTTCATCCATTGCTTTTTGTCCTGCCTTCTAATGCTTTGGAGAATAGGTTGACCTCCATCTTTTTTGTGGCAGCCCTCAAATATTGGAACACTGCTATTATGTCACTCATAGTACTTCTTTTCACTAGATTAAACATACCTAATTCCTGTAACCATTCTTCATATGTTTTATCCTCCATAACCCTAATCGTCTTTCTCTTCTCTGCACTCTCTCCAGAGACTCAATATCTTTTTTTTTAATATTGTGGTGACCAAAACTGGATGCAATATTCGAAGGGCATTACCTTAACTTACCAAGGCATTATAAAATGGTACTAATACTTCATGTGATTTTGATTCTATCCCTCTGTTAATGCAGCCTAGGACTGCATTGGCTGTTTTTTTGGCTGCAGCACGCTGCTGGCTCATATTTAAGAGGTTGTCTACTAGAACTAATAGATCTCTCTCTGAGTTACTGTTATTGAGCCAGGCTCTACCTATTCTATACCTGTACATTTGGTTTTTCTTTGCTAAGTGAGAAATCTTAACTTTTCTCTACAATGAATTCCATTGTAGGGAATTCCAGGGCCCAGTGTTTAAGTGTTTAAGTCTGTCGAGATCCTGCTGGAACTTGACCCTATCATTTGGGGTGTTGGCTATTCCTGCCAGCTTGGTGTTGTTGGCAAATTTGATGAGTTCCCCTTCTATTTCCTCATCCAAATCGTTTATGAAGATATTGATGAGTACTGGGCCTAAGGCAGAATCTTGAGTACCCCACTGCTTACTTCCCTCCATGTAGATGTAGTTCCATTAATGATTACATGTTAAGTGCAATTTTATAGCGAGAAATCCATCTGGTGGTGATGTTGTCTATCCCACATTTTTCTAACTAACTTATCAAGAATAGGTTCTATGATCTACTTTGACAAATGCCTTCCTGAAATCCAAGTATACTATGTCCACAAGCATTTCGCTGGTCCACTAATTGAATCACTTTGTCAAAGAATGAAATAAGATTTGTTTGGCGTGATCTGTTTTTGGACAAACTCATGTTGACTTCTGGTTATAATTTGCTTGCTTCTAGGTATTCACAGATCTGTTGCTTGATTAACTTTTCCAAGATCTTCCAGGTATTGATGGCAGGCTGATTGGTCTGTAGTTTCCTGGATCCATGTTGTTCCCTTTTTTGGATGGGAACCATGTCAGCTCTTTTCCAGTCTTCTGGTAGTTCCCTGGTGCTCTGGGATCTTTGTAAGATATGATTCCATAGTTCCAAGATCATGTCTACCAGCTCCTTAGGAACTCTGGAATGCAATCCATCTGCTCCTGGTGATTTGAACTCATTTAGGGTGGACAGGTGTAATGTGTGGACTCATCCAAGTAGATTGCAGGTTTGGATTTACCAGTCTGGGTCCAATGTGAACTAACTTTCTCTGTCCCTCTCTCTGTGTCTCTCTTTCTGTTGACCCACACATCTCGCTCCCTCTGTTGACCCACACGTCTCTCTCTTTCTCTCTTGTTCTCTCTTGTTCTCTCTTGTTCTGTCTCTCTGTTTCTCTGTTTCTGTCTCTGTCTCTGTCTCTCTCTCACACAAACACACACACACAGACACAGAGAGAGAGAGAGAGAGACACACACACCACATCCTTTCCCCAATGGCAGTCATATGTGAACTGGAATACTAAAGGGGCTAGAGAGTCATGTTGCAAAAAGAGAAGACTATTGAGAATATGAAAGTTGACAGGTGAATTNTCACTCCATTACACGGTGCTAGGGATTCAAACCGCCAAACTGCCGATCTTCCTGATCGACAAGCTCAGCATCTTAGCCACTGAGCCACCATGTCCCTCTACATGTATGTAACATATATACAGACACAATTCATTTAGTGGCCATTCAAAGTTACAACAGCACTGGGAAAAAAATGATGTGACTGGTTCCCACGCTTACTATCATTGTGGCATCGTGTGACCTAAATTCTAAAATCTAACAGACCTCCAAAAATTCTTACGTTATCAAGGACATGACAAATGATGGGATGTTCACATATGTGGCGGGGCTATCTTGCAATTAAGTAGGTCAGTTTGCATCTATGAGCATTTCATTGAAATATGCCTTCTGTTTGAAACAAAAAATTAAAAGCATATTGTCTTACCTCAATTTCAATGAGGGCTGGTCTTTTAACAACCCCATAATCCCTTTTGGGTGGAGTCTGGGCAACTGAATGGAGCTAGCAGAGTGTTTTAATGGCCAGATGCCCTCCCTGTCGCCAATGAAGAGTTTTGTCCTGCAGATATATTCTCAGTATGTCCCGAGGGAGAAATATCTGCCTCTACCTAGGATTGAACTCACAGCCTCCTGATTGTGAGGCGAGAGCCCCACCTCTAGGCCACTGCACCACTGCCAATGGGGGCTGGTAAGAGAGGAAAATGTTTGTTGCAGCACTTGAACAGACAGGGACACCAGTGTCTGCAACAAACCACAATCACATTATCATGGTGAACTGTGTGTGATGGCATCATTCAATGAACAACGAAGTGACTTGTTTGCAATTAATGATAGATGCAAGTAGATCAGGGGGATGATATCATCACAAGCATGTTGTCCTTTTCCCCTCCCCCTGACCTGCCCACAGACATCCATGCTAATTAAAGTTGAAATTCTGCAGTAAAATGCACTGATTAAGTCCCTTTAAAGTCAGTGAGATTTCAACAGTGCACTTGACTGTACAATAGCATTTTTGATTACGTGACATCAAGTACCCACGAAGATAGACCCTCTCCAGGATAAGAACAAGCGCTAATCTTCCTTAATGTTGTCTTTAGTCGTGTTTGTTTTGAAGAAGTCAAAACTAAATGACTACCCTTGGACAAACTAGTCAAACAAATGATTGTAGAAAATTGAAGAGCGAATAGGCAAATATTGAATATTTAAGCCTACCTTAGAATGACTACTCCGCTAAAGCAATGGCTGATATGAATGAAATAAATCATTCAAATCTATAATGAATCATAAATTAATTAAACAAATGTCGTTGATGAATATACTCCCTGAGCTAATGAATGCAAAATAACAAACTTTTGGAATTACTAAAGTTGGACTGAACAGAGTTTAGTGAAAAAAATCTCTCCCAATGTGATCTGCGGCGTAACTGAGATGCCGACATAGGGACAGTTCTCACTGCTGATTGCTCTCCTAGAGATTTGGTTTCTTTTATTCTGTTTTAGTATGAGATTTTTCAACACCTCCACTCCCAAGGCTCTAGTCAACATGCAAAATAAAGTCAGTGTAATACATCATCATAATAATGCTACAAACAATCATCATAAGTTATAATTTGAACTTTTAAAATTGCCTTCTCCTGATTAGGGTTAGAGATTTTCCATCTCAACACCTTCAGCCTGGAGGCAGGCAGGCAGGGAAGCAGGCAGAGAGAGAGTGAAAGGGAAGGAGGAAGGAAGGAAGGAAGGAAGGAAGGAAGGAAGGAAGGAAGGAAGGAGAGAGAAAGAGAGAGAGAGAGAGAAAGAAGAAAGAAAGAGAAAGAAAGCAAAGGACAGGAAGGAAGGAAGGAAGGAAGGAAGGAAGGAAGGAAGGAAGGAAGGAAGCCGCCACTACCAGTTCACCCGAACCGGAACGAACCTGCTAAATATCACCTCTGCTCTGAACCTCTTCCCCCTCCCCCATCTAACCTCTGAATGTGGCTGTCAGCGTTCCAAATATCATTCAGAATTAAATCAGAGTTCAAGGCACAGCTTTCATCAAAGTTCCAATTTAATAAGACAGACATGTTGGTACAAACTGTGGAAACACAAATCTGAGAGCTTACTGGGTTCCCACCCAGTTGAAAGTTCAAAACCTTGCCCCCACACCCACAAGTCCATCACATGGTCCAATGTTCCTCTGCCACACTGGCATTTCCACCCATCTAGTTCCGATCAGGTGCAGAGGTGGGAAGACAAAAGATGACCTTGGGCTTCTAGAAAGGAATTTTTTATTTTGAAAACAAACACATTCTACTCCTTACTATTGCCCCCTCCCTATTCTCCACTAATGAAACAGCATAGAAAAAATAATAGAAAGTGTGGCAGGCCAAAGATCCTAAAACGAATATGACTACATGCATGACATTCACTTGACTTTGTACAGTTTGATCTTTTTCTCTAACCTTCTTATCATTTTCATTTCTCTTTTGCTTTGAAGGTAATGGTCAGGAGAATCAAGATTCCTGGAAACTGTTCCAAGTGATCAAAGCTAAAGATGGAATGGAGAAGTTTGGAATTCGAACAGAATTTGAAAGCCATGAGAAAAACCAGTCAAATAATTGGAGTCAGGAAAGCTCATCTTCCACTTATTCTCCGATGCAAGAGAAACCATGTGATTTTGTTACAACTCAAAAAGTGATTGACACAAAAGAGAAGCCATATAAATGTTTGGAATGTGGAAAAGGTTTTAGAAGCAGCGGGGATCTTACTTGCCAAAAAAGGATTCACACTGGGGAAAAGCGATATAAA